TGTGTTATTCGGTACTGAGTAATGCAAGTGATATGCTTGAGAAGACCATATCCTCCCTATTCTTCTGTAATTTACAGGTAGAAAACTTGACCTCTTCTTTCTGGGTACGTCAGGTTCACATTTTTACGCCTATGATTGTCCCTGAATCTACTTAAGATGATGCCGTTCTCACAAACAACGGGGAATTATGTGAAATATATTCCTTAAGTAAAATCAGAAAATGGTTATGTGACTCAGTAGTCAGGCTGTATACAGTTCCGGCCAGGACCTCTCAGGCAAAGTGTGAATTATGGACTGTGGAGGTCTTCTAGTGGTATTGGTCCTAACCACGGAATTCTCAAACATGAACTTGAAACAACTGAGAAAATAGATACCTAACATTTAACACGGAGAAAAGGTCAACAATAGTTTACGCGAGAACATTCATTTAGGAATCGATCGGATGACACGGCTTAGCCTAAAATAAATATTTCCATCAGTCTTCGGCCCCGAATCTGACCTCTGAAGTTCGACTGGACAAATCCGTGTCTAAAGACTGTTGAGTGGCCCTCCATGACGATGCAAGCTTCGGTAAACCGTACAGCTAATCTCTTACAGAAAACTAATCAGTCTAGATCACGTGCTGCTCAACTTATCAGTCATCATAAAAATATTTCATCGAACCTTTTCATTCCTGACATGTGGTTTAACTGAGCTTAAGACTCTTGATACACAGGTGTGAAGGACAATGGCATTGCCAATCCCTGAATGTCCATGACACCTTGAAGATTACAACACACTTATTAGTTGAACTGTATTTGGATGTTCTGGAGGATAAACATTACTAAATGTTTTGTACTGATTTGTGGTGAACCAGACGATATATAAACGCAAAAAGTATCAACAAAGTTAATAAAAATCAATAGTAATATATACCAGTTAAATGTTACAAATACAATAAAAATGGGACTTTGCTTAAGTTCACCAAAAATGATGCATGTTCAGTTTTAATCTGGTACAATAAATCCAAAATTATATATGCTTGGTAATTCCAAACGTATCGATAAACCCTCCAGTGGTGTAATCCAAAGTAAGGTATGGTGTATTTGCTCTCATAGTCTATGAATGTAAATAATATTTGTTTCAGATCTCAGTTAACTAAATCTCGAATGAAAATAGAACGAGGAATGTGTGAGAAGCAGTGTATTTGTTAGCCAGCAACGGTATGTCACGCTACGTTAGAATCACAACGGAAAAAGTCTTCAAGGTCATTTACTAAAACAACAGGTACAATCATTTAATGATAAATGTACATGCGGTGAGAAATTGACAAAATAAATACAAATAATACTAAAAACTATTTACGAAATAAGCTTGTCAGACCTATCTCCGCAGATTTGCTGCGTTACGAATCAACTTTTCATTCAAAAGCATTTACTTTCACTTTTTATGATAAATTTACCTGTAACTTCTGATTTACTGTGACTCCTGATGTTATTAAGTTCACTCTTTGGTAAGCTTATATCCAGCACGAAGGTACCTTTAGGGGTAGTTCGAAGTCCAATATATGAGGGAATCACGCAGAAAATATGAGAAAGTGATTTGACGGCTTAGTAGCACGTGGCGCACTAACATTTAAGAGTTAAAGTGATCGGCACTAATTAAAAATGACAAAAGACTAGGACAGTCCCAAAATGGTAACTGGGAGTTGGTAACGTATGATTTCGAATGCGTACGAAGTGTAGCATTATTTTGACATACCGCGTTACACTTCGGTAAGCTGTAGTGGCATTTGTTTTTATTCTCTTGTTATGAAATAATGCTCGGTACTACTCATATAATTCGAACCTCACAGAGATTCGTCGAAAAAGCAAACCTGTTACAATTTAATAATCCACTTCATGATCCTGTTATCCATGTAATTAATTTATAAATATTTTGCAGAAGTATGTATATGTTCCTCTACAAAAATTCATTTGACATAATGTTTGTAGACAGATCAACTGTTTGTGGGCAGTGTTTTACCTACAAGTTGTTAACTCATTACTTCGCAGATAGTGACTTGTCTGTTCATCCCCACTGACTATTCATAATTATTCAGAAATTTATATTGGATACACATCAGTCATGTAATTCCCAAGCTTGATCACTGATTTTTCAAAGTGCTGATAGGCATTGTTGGTAACTCTGGGAAGAAGTAGATGTCGGCGAAACTATGTCATTATTTTGCTTCGTGTTAGACTCATAAAATATACCATACTGACGAACCAGTGTGATATATGATGAACTGGCGAAACTGTAATTTATGGACGACCTTTGAGTGGTGTTGAAGTGGCCTCGAGAAACTATCCACTTATCTAGTTTACAAATTGGTGTAATGAATTAAGACTCAGTGTTTAAATTAGTAACAAATTACAGTTAGGGTTTTTTCATTACTAACTGGAGTCAGGTATAATGGCGGAATGTCATTAAGCCGTACGGATGAATAAATATTGCGCCAAAACCCAGTGACCGCTCTCATATCTGGCTTGTCCGTCCTAAAATTATGGTCTTGCCACCTAGTAAGCTAAGTTACAAAAAACACCTGCTTCTGAAATACGTTGTATCTAAGATGTCAATCTCTCACTGACCTTACCCGATGCGATTCGAGGCACAGTCAGTTGTTTGTGTCCCTAAAAAGATTTCCACACCCTAACATTAACTAATTCCACCGAACACAAATCGTCTTATCTCCAACTACTACCTCTAGCACTTAAATCCAAACTCCAAGCTTTACTACTAACCTTGTTTCTTATCCCGAACCATCCATATCTGTCGACCTTACCCTGTCTTCTAGTTCTTAACCCTAACCTTTTCTTTTGTTCGCTTTAGCAAATAATTCAGCATGTAAACATTAATTGGTGCCGTCAAGGCTGTTCGTCTTTAGTCATTTTCTTAGTTTGTTTTACCTCGTTCCATAACTATGCATTATTTTCTTTCTGTCTGATAACTTACTTAAGGTCCTCAGCATATTCTACTTCTACCGCTTGGTAGCCGTGGTAGTATCTGCGATTTTCCCGGTCAGGATTCTCATATTTTATGTAGTTGGCCACATTGGGGAAAGTTCAAAACCTCTGTTGACTCATCCTTTGCTCTCCTTTAACCGAATCAACTCAATTTCATCTTCAATTCCGTTTGTCTCTAATAAGTTGTATTTTACTGTGTCGTGATCAAGTGATATCACTCATGTTTGTGCTTCTCGTCTCTATATTGTCATGTTTCTAATATTTTTAGGCTCAGTAACGTTAGCTAGTTTTTACTTAACCCGTTCATGTTTTTTTGTACACTTACATCTACTTGGTCAGTCAGTTGTGCTATGCATCCGTACCAGGTCTTATTTTATCTATAATGGACTGAAATAACCAATTACTCCCCTAAGTGCCAAATATTTAGTTAGAAATGTCCTTCAGTGTTGCATAATCACATTTCAAGTAGTGATCTACCAGCTTTCCGTATTTCGCTAGCAAAATTGTATACTCATCTAATTGATCGTTCGGACCTTATTTACGGGGAAATATAGTGGGTAACGCGTAAAACTCATAAGTAATGACAAGGAATGATGAATTTCAAAAGTGGGTTCGACTGCGGTGGTTTTCTTAGACTGTAGTGTAACACACTAGTGATAAAAGATACACCTACCTAAAGTCGATTTTGTTTATTCTGATTCATATAATCCATAAGTATCTATAAATATTTCCAATCAGCTAATGCCTTACTCCTAATAACAAATGTTCATTTAGTCGGTCTAAGATTAGTTAGACAACCAAGGCTTCTTAAATGATATCATCAAAATATATTCTTTTCGGTACCATTAATTCAGAGGAAAACTCATCTTACTGAACTCTTAAGTAAACAAATATAAAATCGAAGATTAAATAGGTATTTAGTGTTTCTGTTCACCATGAAGATGAAAGACAAAGGATTAATGTTTAGTCAAACTGATGTAAGATGTAAAATCAATATGTTTTGTTTCTCGTTTTGAATCCCAACACACGGTACTTTCCAGCCGATGTTTTCGGTCCTGAAAACTAAAATCAAACTTATGGGCACGCTGACTAGTCAGTCAGTTAGTCATATCTAACAAAAATTCTGGGGCATATGTACATCGATCCGAATCGCCACAGCTCATCAGCACAGCAAAATGGCAGAATTGTAGAAGTAGCAACATTATTGGTGGTAGTAGAAAAGAGTAAATATGGATGACATAATTCAAGAAGAAAATATGGGCTTGTGTAATGGAAAAAACTCAGGATAATTATTAAGATCTAAATGAAGACCGAAAGTAACTACATTTGTGCCATTAAGACTGATTTTGTACAGCGTCACCCAACATTTACAACCATCAGTTGTGATAACTTCGTGAACTCTAACTAGGTAATCTACATCTATCACCATGGTTCGAACCAAGAGTCAGTGACTACAGAATGATGTCATGTCTTCATTTGATAGCCCTTAATTTTTTCCAATCTACTTCTAGACAAACAGACATCGCCTGTCGAGGTAAATGGTTGTTGTGGATGCGTATTATATGTTCCAACCACCTTGAATTATGTAGATTCATTGCCTTATTAACCGATTTGGCATCCTTACCTAATACTCAGTATCTAACTTCAAAACCCACCGGAGTTGATTAGGGCGCTCAATTACTTCGCTCATACTCCCAAGCCAGCTTTAAAGCGACACGGACTAGTTATGTGAGATTTTTGATTGGTGAACATTGCTCTCTTCCCTGAACATTCTTTGTTAGAAAAGATGTACAGGGGAAATATTTTTATTGTGCGAGGGTAACAAAATGATTGTGTTTCCCGATTATTTTGGACAAATTTTAAGGTGCCGTCCCCACTTTTCAAACATATTGTTCAAAATACAGTATACATAAACACCTGACTCAAAAACACAGAGTAAGATAGTCAATCATTTAGACCACTTTAATTATTGAGAGATATGCCTTTCTTTTTCGCCTAGTTTCTGTAAAGGTACAAATGTTTTGTGTACGATTTTTCATCATGCTGTGTATGGTATATCTGAATACACATCGGGGGAAAAGTATGTTGCTTCGTATTTTCGTTTGTATAATTTAGTGTCTATGATCTATGATATGACGACTTGCATAGGAAGGTGTAGTTAGTGCCCTGTGCAAGGTATAAATATATGATTCGCGAATTTAGATATTATGACAAAATCATATCAATATAGTTGGAAGAATCCATTCCAAATATCCCGTTATTTGTTTCTGTATTATTTTTTTAACCTGTTTTCTCGTTTTATACTATTGATTTACGTCTTTTGTTATGAGTGAAGTACAGGTCGATGCGATTTTTAGCTCAGCTGAAACTGCACTTTAGGGTAGGTTATCAGGTACATGTTTTTACTACCGTTGACAAATGGGGCGTTGAAAAGTGCTCCAAATAAGTAGATTACCAATTTTCTGAGGTATAAAAAGGGGAAATCATCTAGTAATAGGATGGATAGGAATATCATGTTTTTGCACTTTAAAAGACTATTAAATTACGGGTTGTTTATTTATTTGTTTGTTTGAACACATAGATGTTGGTACAAAGGGGCACCTAATACATATACGCCACATAAGTCACTTGACTTGTGTGTGGGGTATGATACTGCCCGGGTGCTCAAACCGAGGCAGGTGGTTTTCTTAGGGGGCTACGATCGGAGCTTTTGACCTTAAGGTCTGATCCATGAGGCAGTGGAGCAACATCAGATTCAGTCCGATTGTAGCCGGTGACCGATAATTGGTCCATACGCCATTTATTCCTCTAGGTTCCTGGAGACCATGTGCACCGTTAATTTGGAATCAGGGTTTTCCAACTCCCCTAGGTGGACTCTTCGTGTCCACCAACCCGGTTAAAGCGTCAAACACTCGCTTTTCGTCCTCTCAATTTTGTAAACAATACCCCCGTCACGGGAAGTCAGTGAGCAGGACTTCCCTGACAGTGGCTATATACGCGTGGCTATGTGAGAACATTTGGGGGCAAATTACAGGTTGCTCATCCCCACATATGTTTTACTGTTTAGAAATATTCAACGTGATTGTCAACGACTTTGATTTTGTGATATATTTGGTAGCACCGTGCAACCAAAATGTATGATTTCCAATGGAATCACATCTAGCACTAAACCTGTCTTATTTTAACGTAATTAGGTTTAGGCCGATAAATTGACGAGTCATTATCATCATCCCAAATTACTTTCTAGTTGTTCGCGTTTGCATAGAAATTGATTCATGTTATTCTTTTCAGTTCATCGTAATTTTTCATCGTCTGTTGTACTACTCAGCTGTTCGAACACCATAGATGATTTTTCTGGGGTCACCTTCACATATTCGGCCTAGATTTCTGTATCAACGAACCCGATCCAAGCACCAAATGTCTGTTTTCACCTCACTTTTGTAAAGACATGGCGATGGTGAGCAATATGTTCTTAAACGAGACTAGTTGCACGACCGTTTGACGTTACTTCGAGAAATACAAACTGTCCACTTTCTACGGAACTACTATGTTCAAGTGTAGACATTTTACTAGCTTACAAGGTGCTAATATTAAGTAGAGTAGCACAAATGTTTCTTTTGTTTGATGTAACTTCATTATGAGCCAAATCATATTTCGGCGTTTCCATAGTTGTATTAAAATTGAAACCACAAGTCTCTGATTCACGGGCTTATATTGCACACGTTTTCTCAATGTTTGATTGGAGTCTGGGGTTGGTAATTAACTTTTGATAAGTGGTATTTTAATAAATCAAGATAGACTAAAACTCTTTTCAGTTAAGACCGGTTTTGGGGTCTACAAATGAAAGTAAGACAGTTTCAAGTAAATGAAAATAAACTAGTGAGATATACTCTATCCGTCATATAGTTCAAATAGCCAGTTATCACCAGCAATCAGTACGTCACTTGCTCCCGTTGAATTCTGGATTTGTTAAGCAATAAAGTAAAATATAGCGTTTAATCACTCGGGTGTTATTATTATGTTTTGATTTAGGTTTGATCGTCACTTACTATACGCAGTGTAGTACAATAACGTCTTTTTATGAGTTTTGTGTACAAACATATATCTATTCTCTCATAATTCAGATAAATGTGTATTATATTCTTGTTCGATATTACTTATCTTTCTTAGTAATGGCAGATAGTGCTTCTGAATTAGAACTCGAATCTGATGCGAGTTCCGTTGATGGTACCAAAGACTCATTGGTTACAAATGAACAGATTTTACGACGTATAGAATCTTTACAGCAAGAAAATCGAGTTTTAAAAACTGAGGTAGAAACTTTGAAACTCAAGATCAAAGGTCTGAACGACTTAAATCAGCAACTGAGGCGTAATAGTGTTAGTATAGTAAGTTCTGTAACTATCACGTATACTTGTTTCATAGCAAGCGAAAGCAGAACAGGAAGAGGAATATATTAGCAATACTTTGTTGAAAAAGATCACTGAGTTGAAAAAAGAAAAGAATCACTCGCATTAAACTATGAACAGGAAGAAGAATGTCTTACCAATGAGCTTAATCGTAAATTCACACAACTCAGACAAGAAAAAGTTGCACTGGAGCGTACTTTAGCTCGCGAACAAGAAAATCAGGTAAATTTCACTAGTATAATTTGTTTTTGACATCTTTTTGTGGTGAGGCTATATATATATAATCACAAAGTTTCTCGTAATTAATATATCATGATCAGGCTTATTGCTTCAGCGTTCAGTTAAATCTTTTCCATCATGTTTAAGTAGCCCGGAAAAACACGAGTTATCTTTGTTTCTGAGTCGAAAATCGCCTTTTATGATGTTTGTTGTTAGTGAAATATAATTATGTTCTTGTTCCTAGGTTTATATCCAAACACCGTCATTTCTCATGCTAATCTGTTTGCTACTTTATACATTCTGTATAGCCGCGTTAAAAGCATCTCACTGAAAATTCCATATCTAAACCCAAATGTTTTAGTCTTAATTTGGTTCTGGCTTCTAGTATACATAATAAAATATTAAGAGATAAGAAAGTGAGAACAGTCAAAAATTACCGAAAATATATTGTTTGTGCTTCTGAATTTGTGTCCATAATGATTGCATGTAATATTTTTAGTGTTATGGTAATCTCATCACAGCGTGTATAGATGTTCTTCGATAGACCTAAGCACTTGTTAAGTGCAAAATGAATAAGCTATGGCCTAATGGTTAAAGCGCTAAGTTTTCGAGTAGCTGGTCACTTCGGATTAGGTAGATATTTAATGTCATCAGCCCTCACAAGTATGTTTCAAAACGTACATAAACTTGTACTTTGTAAATGAGTTATGTTACTTCTACTTTTCTGGTTTTGTGTGGTTGTTTACTCTGTATTGATTTCTAATGAATACCGCTTTTAGGCTAATAAAAGTCCTTGTTTTAACAATGAAAATGTCCTAATTTTGAACATATATTCTTACTATTTTTTTATCCACTTGTGTTGAAACTATGTTCGTTATTGATATAATTTTTAAAAAATTTATCTTCCTCCAGGTCAGCAAATTAATGAGAAGAATCGAAAAACTAGAAACAGATATGAATCACAAACAGGATTGTTTGGATCGCTTACGCAGAGAGAAAATTGAATTAGAGAATGCACTTGAGCAGGAACAGGAAGCTTTAGTGAACAGATTATGGAAAAAGATGGAAAAGCTTGAATCTGAAAAGAAAATATTACGAGTTAGTGTGTGGATTTTATTATTATTTTTTATTATATGAAATGTTGAATATTTTCATTGAACCTCTTAAGAAAAGCCATTAGTCTACGCTATCGTACTTCGTAAGGAATTTTCTGTTCACTGACAAATGAGATTGTTGTTATGACGAATATTAGTAAACTTATTGTCTAGTTCATATTTATCTATTTAATTATATGCCATGTTTTAGTTTGTTGTACCGTTTGTTTCTAAGTTCCACATAGTTTAATAAAGTCATGTTTAATCCTCTGTGTATTTAGATGTAATCTACATTCTCTCTCACTATTATCTCTTAGCCTTGATTTATTGGTTTGATGATTCCTTCCATATTGTATTTTTTCAATTTTGGTACCATGAAAACGTAAGTGAAATAAGCATTGTTTAAATACTGTAATGACTTTTTGTAAAGTCACTCTATATGCTGATAATCGCGCATACAATGCAAACACTTAATGTAATGATAATGCATATCCGTCTTTATGATGCCTTTCGAAAATGTCAATTAAATCAATTATATTATTGTTTCTACTTAAAAAGTTTATGGTGTTATTGATATATTCGAATGATTTCACCGTTTTGTACCATCCCTTTTTATACTAGTAATTTAAATTTCTAATTTTACCTATGCAAAATAGCACTTATTTGCTTTGTTCGATGGTTGGTGACTCGAAATTTCGGTTTTATGTTTTTTTTGTGTGTAAATCTTGCAACAAAACGGTTAAGCTTCCTTCTTCCTATCGATTATTAGGTGTAATGGTTTGTAATAATTAGATAATCTGGCATAGGCTTTGGTGATATATACCATATCATAATAGGTCACTGAACTGGTTTACTTCATGTTTAGTCCTAGCATTTTCTCCTGTCTACTTTTTCCAAGGTTACAGACACTATTTAAAGTATTTCTAATCTGTACTACTAATTACAGTCTTGAACAAGAAAATCTGTTCAGGCTTATCGCGACATTTCATTCTACAGAATCTGTTACTTCATCAGTGTTATCAAATTTGGATACAATGCTATAATAAAAAATTATGGGACAGTTGATACTTCAGTGCAGTCATTTGGCAGCTAGAATCTCCAACGTAAAGCAGTGACTTAGTGAATAATGCAACTAACTTGAAACCAGTAGGTTACAGGTTCGAATCCTTTATTTACTTTGTTATAGTCAGTTCGATTATCCCGTTTCTCATCGCATTAAAATTGTAACTAAAAGCTGACAATGTAATTCTGTACTTGTTTGCCGAGGTACAGTTGATTTTTGTCTTTGATACATAGCATTACACATCATAGCTTCATGGAGTTAAGTCGACATGTAGCAGTACATCGACAAATAGCTCTCTATATTGGTTACTTTCATATAATCAATCGTTGAAAAACCTATTCTGCTATTGTAAGTATTGTTAAATAAATTATTTTCTATTTTTCCAGGAGAAACTGGAATCCGTTGGAGCTCCACTGCCCAGCCTTTCAAGTGCCCAAAACCTTGCCAGTATTTCAGATGGTATACCTAATAACAGTTCAACAGTTCCCCGTCCTATCAGTAGTGGACCCGGTAGTCTTCGTAGCTCTTTCAGACAACACAGCCACCTACCGCATACTTCATCTAGTTCAATTGGTGCCTCTTTTTCTGCTGTTACGTGTCCTGTTTCTCCTGGTAGAATATCTATCTCATCCGGTAGTGAGGAAAAAGCTCCCCAATCAAGTCAGTGTTCTTCTATCCCCAACGATTTGACTTCGAAATCCAATGTATCTGAATGTAATGGCGCACCATTTACACTACCACCTCAAAGTCCTATGGATATCGATGCATTGGGTAATTATTTTCGAAAGTATTTTACATCACAAACTGAATCCAGTTAAACCATCATTTGAATGAAATATGTATTCTAGATCTCATTGCTAGTAATTACCTAAAAAGACAATGAATTTTTAATTACAAGTAGCCTATTATCTGTTGGACTACACCTTATAGGAAAGTACAGACTACCTGATTCGAACCCGTTGATTATCATAACTAATGGTTGGAAACTTTCGGTAACGCGGTTCAGAATCGTTTGCAATGACTCAGGTGCATTCCCTCTTTGTTCTTTAGATTTTGAGTGTTAAGATAAGCTTACACTTCTTATTCTACGAATTCCTTATTGAATCATACTGTATATGCTGAATACTTTCTACTACCATTAGTACTATTCTTACTTCTACTGCTCTGCTATTGTCTTAATAGTTGCATCTTGGTGTCCTCATACGATATGTCAACTTAAACTGGTGCATACATATGTCTCAAGTTCTGCGTTGCCTGTGACTGACTGACTAACTAACTAATTAACTGAAAGGCAATCTTAAGCCCATTCATTTAATAGAAATGTTAAGTAACAACAATTCAGAGACGATTATCAATAACCTATGAAAAACACAAACCCCCATTAAAATTGATAGACATATTTATTTTGAAATTTTTTTATCAAATTCTATTGCTAAGCTTAATACTAATATATCTTAATTGATATCTTTACCGTGAATTATTATGTGTACATTTTTGTACTTTAGTCATTGTGTTTTTCAGTATGTACAGCTCAGTTACTGTCAAAAAATATTGCTAACGAGCTACAAATAAACTTTGGAGTGTTTCTTAACCAGCGCTAAAATAAGCGTAGATACTTTTATTAGTTTTAGACTAGTCGTTTCTCGGTTATATGACCAATCGTTCAAATGTAGTTGGCTGTGGTGTTTTATTTAAGTGTATCTTCTTATCGATCAAAGCATTCGATTTCAGTTTAAGCTCCTACTTCACCTGCCATAGTTTAGGCTACCGGATAATATCACCTGTCAAGTAAAAAACATCAATAAAACCAACTACGTTAGCTGTATTACTCTGTCATTATTATTATATACATAGCTGGTTTGTTTAAAGACATGAAAATGGGGACTGTAGAACTTTTGATAACTGAATCAAAGGAGCTTTCTAATTGTTGTCCTTCTGATATCAACAACGTAGGATGAAAGATATCAAATTAAATAGTTTAAAAAAACTTACTCTTAAATCAACTTGGTGTTGTTTGCTTGTGTCTTCCCATTGTTGTTTAGGATTGGAATTGATCAGTCTCTTGTTGGTATATGTGCATCCTTTGCTGAGTGCCTCCATAATACCTTAAGTCGCAAGCTTTATAAGCAAATATGGATAGTGGCTAGCCGTGGAATCCAGTACGCGCGTTTCTTCCTATTTGGGACTCATCAGCCGGATGTGCCTGTATCTCTGAGTTGATGTGCACTCCAGGACTTGAACCCAGTACCGCTCGTTTCAAACACCATCGCGTTATCCACTTAACTACTGAGTTCTGGTAGCCACCCGTTTGTACAGTATTAAAACATCCTTGTGGTTGGTCACTGCTGTATTAGTTAGCTAGCTAGTCACATGTAATAATAGTACGAATTACACGTTTATGAGTATAAATGCGCTGGTTGAGTGGAAAGATATTCCACATCTGAAAACCATAATATAGGTGTTATTATTATTATTATTATTATTATTATTATGAGTTATCGTTACCGAATTTAAGGCCATCGACTAAGACTACGCAACACTTGTGAATAGTTTTGGATTTTGCTTCCTTTCTTTATTCCTTTTAAATATGTAGTTATTTTATCTTATATAGAACGTGTCTTACATATTTTGCTTTGAAAAAATATTTAATAAGGAATCAAAATAAATTTGGTCTCATTAAAAGTTTTATTGTTAAGTGATGTGTATTTTTATGATCAATTCTTGCTGTAATATGATTATATTGTTTAGTTGATATTCAGTGTAGGATGATGATGACCTTAACGTCCTGTTTTTTAGTTAACCTAGCAAATTTGATTTGAATAACATATCATACGATATTCAAGTGATTCAGTAAATAAAACCTTGGCACTTGGGTACGTTAATAATTTTCATGCTTGATTAGACTTAAATGCATCACTTTAACGTTACTCAATGATTGTTTTTATTGTGTATTAAATATTTCTTGCTTGCAGATCCTAATGCAAGTGGTGCAGCTAGTCCATGTGGAAGTGTTGGTCTGCAATCACTCCCAACTACTCCAAGTCACTCACACTCTTTAAGAAGTCCTTCAACACCTTGCGCTGTGCATAAAGTGGTCATTTCTCAAGAGTCGTTTACCCCTAATCAGTCATCAGATGTCGTTCTTAGTACTTCTGCTCATGTGATTTCGACATCATACGTTAATCGATTGCGTGATGAAGTTTGTCGTCTACGCCAATTACTTCAACGCTATGAAGCGGAGTCTGCTTGTAAGATGCCTCAGTATGAATCAGAGGAAAAATCAGTCGCTGAGGAAAACCGTCGTTTGCGAAAATTGCTTCAAGTTGAAAAAGAAAGACGTGAGGCATTGTCTAGACATTTGAGTGAAAGCGAATCAAGTTTGGAAATGGAAGATGAAAGGTAAAGTCCATTGGCTGTATATTTATGCTTCCATAGTCTCTACTAAAGTATTAGAAACATGAAATTTAGTTAGGGAACCTCTTGTCAGCAAACGTTTTATTAAGCTATACACTCCTATACATATGTTGATGTAACGGAAAATTTCCAACACTAGGTTATATTAGCATAAATGGCAACAATACAAGGTTGTGCAACTTCTACAGAATGTGCTCAAATAAAATATATAACTTACTTTTTTTTTTAAATAGTACATGGATTACGTTATGACTGTTCGTTAGCCTACTGTATTCAGTGTTGTATTTAGGCATATTGTATTTAACGATTTGAGGAATTTTGTAGATTCATGCTAAATCAACCAGAGATAATGTGTTCAATGAATGGAATTCTAATTTTATCATCTAAATCGTTGATTTACGTAAATTTGCACACTTAATTAGTTCTGTGAATAGCTTTCGATCAGTTATGAAAATATACTCATAATGTTTGCCTTTATTTTTAATAGACAGTTTAATGAAGCTAGTCGTTCCACTCGCTTAAGGACGATTTCTGATTGTACATCTCCATTTCAACCCCCTGTTCCTGCTCCTTGGACGTCTGGTGGTGGTACATCTTCGTCATTGTATGGTCCTGGCCATGCATTTGCTGTTGCTGTAGCTGCTGGTGTGAGTGGTCATTCAGGTACACGAGTTTGTCGGGAATGTGGTCAACCATTAATTAGTCCTTTTTCGACTGATTCTTCATCTGTAACAAGTGGTCGGTTAGTCTCAACTTCATTGCATAATCCTAACCATGTGGTGAGCTTACGTAATTGTTCTGGTCGTTGTTGCTCTCCAATCAGTAATGTAAACACTTCAGAGGCACATTCAGTTCATACTTCAAACTCTCCTTCTACACCAACAACATCATCTTTAAATAGTGATCATTTTGTAAAGCCAACTTACCCAGCTGCTGTAAGTCCACAACAAAATCCTTACTATTATCATACAATCCCTTCTTTATCTGCTGATAATAGTCGGATATCTTCATCAGAGAAACGATTTTCAACTTATTCAATTGATGATAAAGATATTATTCAAAAACCATTAGATTTAGAAGATGGGGATGAAGAAGATGATGCTCGATGCATTACACCTCCAAGTTGTCATAATTAATCATTGAATTCGAAACCTTTTTTCGTGTGTACACAAGCACCCACTACATGAAGTGTATTTTATCACTTTCTACTCACTTTTGATGTAAACGTTTTCTGTGTGTGTGTGTATGCTGTTTTCATTTAAACCTTCATTCCTTCTCTCATGTTACATACTTATGTAACATACCTTTCAAATTTGTGTATAGCTTCACTAAGCACTATTTTTGTGTTATTTTCGCGTTCTTCATCAAATCTCGACTGTTCGATTATTTTTTTATAAAGATATCATTGGTGATGATAATTATGCCTAAACACACATAAGTATAAAAAATGGGTTTTTCCTGAGGGAAATAGAAAATTTCCATATCTATTTCATCATAGCTTATGACAATAAATTTAACGTTGTTGCACTGCGTCCTGCTATTTATTTCGGTCCTAACAAGTGTTTACTCACTGATATGATGATAAGTGTGAGTGCTTTCGCTATTCAGTTGAATGGATAGATATTTCATCAAAATGTAAAGCTTTTAAGTTGCTTTAAGATTTTATCTACAAATTTACCATGTGTTTTAATCTATTTTCCTTGTTTTTCTGACCCATACTGTTATCTATGTATGTATGTATCTGTGGGTGTGTACATCTAAATCAATATTTTCGTAATCAGGTGTCTACTTATAATTGTTTCAAATCTCGAACTCTAACCAATTAACGAAAAAGACAGCTCGCAGATACACGATATGTGTACATTTTATTCACAATCCACTATTATTACCATAAAATTCCATTATTTTCCTTGTATGGCATTCTTTGTGTTTTCTTGTGTCTTTAACGTACAGTAAGTGGTGTCAGTAACAATAGTAGTATTAGTGAGAAAATATCTTATTGCCATTTTGTCAACTTGTTTTGTCTCTTCGGTATACGCTTTGTAAATCATTCAATCCTCTTTTATTGTTTGTTTAGATGAAAAAATGGGCGTCATTACTACTTATTTATCTAGCTAACTATCTCTACCCAATATATTATACTATCTGTTATATTTTGTAGAACTTCTTCTTCAATCCATATTTCATACATATTTCTGTGTTTTTATTACTGTGATGTAATGTCGCTGTGGTCTTTTGCTTCTCTTAAATATTGAAATATTCAATTCGGTGAATGATATCAACATGCATAAATAATGGAAGTTTTTGTTTATTTAACATTTGAACACAAAATGAAATAATAACTCATATCTTTAATAAATAATTAGTATCATCCATTATGCTACTGCTACTACTACTACTACTAATAATAATAATTATTATTATTATTTATTGTTTTTAAAAATCTGCATTTGTGTATGCGTTGATATGTGAATGTGTGTTTGTACGTTTATTATTTTATGAAGTGTATCGTAAAACATTTTTTGTTTGTGATTTCGTTAAATACTGGTTCAAAATAATTAACTTACTCTATAGATAAATTGATAGATAAATGTATGTTTTAACAAAAAATCAAATTTTAGTTTAATTCAACCTTCTGAAATATTTATTATTTGGATCTTTTTCTTCGTTGAATGTATTCGGTCAGTTAAGTTCCACTGTTAAACCTTGAATGTACTAAGAGTTAAGGTATATATATAGGCTGTAACAAGTTAATTGGGTTTATTTACACTCAGCTTATATTTTTCAATGTAGCATATACACTGAACCATTTTACTATACACATTCTTTTCACCTAATTAATATTCACGTGCCTACTTGAAATTTCCGGTGTTGAAGATGGTAACCTACCTAAGATTTTAATTTCACTCCTGAATGATAACAGATACTTCAAACTCCTATCAATTCTTTTTTTTAATTGAGATCATGAACCGTTTGATGTTAGATCACCTTTGGAAACCTGGAAGCACTGGACGGCCGTTTCGTCCTATTATGGGACTCCTCAGCAGTGCGCATCCACGATCCCGCTCGCGGGATTTGAACCCAGGGCCTTCGGTCTTAATTCCTTTGCATCTTTTAGACAAGTTAGTGGCTTAGTGGATAACTCAACGTTTAAAACAAAAGGTAGTGGGTTTGGGTTTCAATATTAATATTAATGTTGGGCCGAAGGTGCATCCAGACAAATCCCAAATTGGACGACACACTTGTTCTGGATTCCACTGCTAGTCACTGTCCAACTTTAGTAAAACCTTTGACTACATGGTAATGTAGATCTAATGGGATGCTTATATTCCAATAGAGATTGATCATTTACATTCCTGAATAACAGCGATGAAGTGTTTAAAATACTTACCATCCCTTTTTGTCTGATCCTAAATTATCATGGATTTGTAGAATGTAGTGATGTATCGCGTTGGAGCATCAGTATACATCTCAGTTGGGAACAAATCATGGCGTTTTTCTAATAATATTTTGTACCCTTTATAAGTAATCTTGATCACAAAGATATCAGCATGAAGCATCGATTTATGAATACGAAGTCTACTGATTTTAGAGTGACAAAAATATTCACTATATCACAAAATGACTGACGTTAAAAATATATTATATTAAATTTCCACTCAGTGTTCTAATGACATAGAAGTGTGGAGGTTCTAGATTCAATTTTTTGTTGTGTTGTGAGATCAAATTGCTGAGTGGTTTTAAATTAACCACTACAGTGCTGTGCTGTAACATGAAGCAATTTCTAGTGCATTCCATTTCTTAAATGTTAGACTAGAAATTTACCGTTCTAAATATCTGTGCAGTAAATTTTTGTCGTGTAAACCACCTTACAACTTATAAATTGAGGCATTAGTTCTGTCATTGAAACTATCTTACTTTTCAGTTTATTTGTATTGATTGTCTTACTTTTCACTACATTAGTTGTTTGTATAACGATTTCCGACCACTAGGAATCATCTTTGTTACTCATGACGTGTAAAATCGGCTCTAAATCGATATTTTGCCCACATTTTACCGAATATTTCAATCTTGGTAAATTAAAAAAATTTCACTCAGTAGTCTCGAATAGATTTGTAAAATTAGAAATAACATTATATATATATCATGGCTACCCACTAAGTTATCAATCATTATTCCACGAATGAAAATAGACCTTGCTTTACGACCTGTCGTTAAGGCTAGTGAAGTATAGTTTAGTTCGCATTTTGGTGCACGAACATGACAGTTTCTGCAGATTCTCTGATCTCAATACCCAAATGAATGACAGTGAATTTCAACTTTTCTATGCAAATCAGCGCTTGACTAACTGCTTTTATTATATGCGATGTTTTTTTTTGACGGTCAGTGTGTCCTGATTACCTGAAATTCGATTTGAAGGATTCTATGTAGACCTTGTGATACATGTACTAACAATTTATGTTTGTAAGAAAAGACTAAATTTTATTCGATAAAATTTTAGATTTTCTGCTTGAATATGTTCATCCTGTAGGTTTGATTTATTATAAAACGTTCAGCGTGTGACAATCACGAACGATGACATTTATCATTTTCTGTTGTTTGAAATTTCCCTTTTTTTGCAATAGAAAAAGACTTTGCAATTGTTTTTATGATTTGTGATTTGAACTATATATTTTAAAAAAATGTTTATATTCTAATAACAATACTGTCGTAGTGAACAAGAACACCAGTGGGGACTTACTTACTTACGTCTGTTACTCCTCGTGAAGGAGCATAGGCCACTCACCAGCATTCTCCATCCAACCCTGTCCTGGGCAATCCTTTCTAGCTCCGTCCAGTTGTAATTCATCCTTTTCATATCTGCTTCTATTATCCGACGCAATGTGTTCTTTGGCCTTCCTCTTTTTCGCTTCCCTTCAGGATTCCAAGTTAGGGCTTGCCTCGTGATGCAGTTTGACGATTTGCGTAATGTATGTCCTATCCATTTCCATCGTCTTTTCCTAATTTCTTCTTCAGCTGGAAGTTGGTTTGTTCTCTCCCACAGAAGGCTATTGCTGATGGTATCCGGCCAATGGATGTTGAGTATCTTGCGTAGACAGCTATTTATAAATACTTGTACTTTCTTGATTGTGGTTGTTGTAGTTCTCCAAGTTTCAGCTCCATACAGTAGAACTGCCTTGACGTTCGTATTGAAGATTCTCACTTTGATATTGGTTGAAAGTTGTTTTGAGTTCCATATGTTCTTCAATTGTAGGAATGCGACCCTTGCTTTGCCGATCCTCGCCTTTACGTCTGCATCTGAACCTCCTTGTTCATCGATGATGCTTCCTAGGTATGTGAAGGACTCTACATCTTCCAGAGTTTCGCCATCAAGAGTGATTGGATTGCTGTTTTCCGCTTTGAATTTGAGGACCTTGGTTTTCCCTTTGTGTATGCTGAGGCCTACTGATGCAGAGACTGCTGCTACACTGGCTGTCTTCATCTGCATCTGTTCGTGTGTACGTGATAGGAGGGCTAGGTCGTCTGCGAAGTCCAAATCGTCTAATTGATTCTGAGCTGTCCATTGTATTCCGTGTTTTCCTTCAGATGTCGAGGTCTTCATAATCCAGTCGACCACCAGAAGAAAGAGGAAGGGAGAGAGTAAACAGCCTTGTCTGACTCCAGTCCTTACTTGGAATGCATCTGTCAGCTGTCCTCCATGCACTACTTTGCACTGTAGTCCGTCGTATGAGTTCCGGATAATGTTGACAATCTTCTCAGGAACTCCGTAGTGTCGAAGAAGTTTCCATAATGTCCTCCTATCTACACTGTCGAATGCCTTTTCATAATCAATGAAGTTGATGTATAGTGATGAGTTCCACTCAACTGATTGTTCGACGATGATCCGTAGTGTTGCAATTTGGTCTGTGCACGACCGATCCTTACGGAATCCAGCTTGTTGATCTCGAAGTTGGGCGTCTACTGCATCCTTCATCCGGTTCAGCAACACTCTGTTGAAGACTTTCCCTGGTATTGACAGTAGTGTAATGCCTCTGTAGTTTTCACATTTGCTCAGATCTCCTTTCTTTGGAATCTTGACGAGGTGTCCTTCTTTCCAGTCCATCGGCACTTGTTCCTCCTCCCAAATCTTTTTGAATAGAAGGTAAGCATGCTTGTGGTTGCTTCGATGTCTGATTTCAGTGCTTCAGCTGGTATGTTGTCGGGTCCTGCTGCTTTCCCGTTCTTGATTTGTCTGACGGCCATTCTAATTTCTTCCGTCGTTGGTGGGTTGACATCTATAGGAAGATCTATGTGTGCTGCTTCGATGTCCGGTGGATTCATTGGAGCCGGCCTATTCAGGAGTTCCTCGAAGTATTCTACCCATCTGTTACGCTGTTGTTGAATTTCGGTGATTGGCTTGCCTTCTTTGTCTTTGACCGGCCTCTCTGGTTTACTGTATTTCCCTGCTAGTTTCTTCGTTGTATCGTGAAGCTGTTTCATATTTCCTTCTCTAGCAGCTTTTTCTGCCGTCGTTGCTAGTTCTTCCACGTATTTCTTCTTGTCGGCTCTAATGCTCCTCTTCACTTGTTTGTTTGCTTCTATGTATTCAGCTTGTGCTTGGACTTTCTCTGCTCGTGTTCGGCTGTTGTTAATTGCTGCCTTCTTGTTCTTCCTTTCTTTGATCTTGTCCAGTGTTTCTATAGAGATCCATTCCTTATGATGGTGTTTCTTTAGGCCCAGAACCTCTTGACACGTTGAAGTTAATGCTTCCTTGATGCCTTTCCAGTTGTCCTCCATAGTAGTTTCTTCTTCTTCAGTAGATCTTGTAAGGCTTGGAACCTGTTGTTGAGAGCTATCTTGAATTCATTGAGTTTGTCAGTATCTCGAAGGAAGGCTGTATTGAACCTTTGTAGTGCTGTTTGTCCACTTGTCCAGTTCTTTTTCAGCTTCAGTTTTAAATTGGCTACAACTAGGTGGTGATCTGAAGCTACGTCAGCACCTCTCCTGGTTCTCACATCTTCCATTGTCCTTCGGAATTTTTTGTTGATGCAAATATGATCTATTTGGTTCTCTGTAGTGTGGTCCGGTGAGATCCATGTAGCCTTGTGTATACGCTTGTGTGGAAATATTGTGCCTCCTATGACCAATTTGTTGAATGCACACAGATTTGCAAATCTTTCTCCATTTTCGTTTACCTCTCCCAGTCCATGTCGTCCCATGATATCTTCATATCCGGTGTTGTCTATTCCGACTTTGGCATTTAGATCTCCCATCAGAATAGTTAGGTCCTTTCTTGGCATTTCTCAATGATTGACTGCAGCCGCTCGTAGAACTGATCTTTAATGTCGTCGTTGCTATCATTGGTGGGTGCATAACATTGGATAATATTCATTAAGATCCCCTCCTTCTTTGTTTTGAATGATGCTTTGATGATTCTGGATCCGTGAGACTCCCATCCTACAAGTGCATTTCGTGCTACTTTGGACAGCATAAGAGCGACTCCCTGAGTGTGTGGAGCATTGTCCTCTTCGTGACCGGAGTATAGCAGCATCTCTCCCGTAGCTAGCCTTTTCTGTCCAGCTTGGGTCCAGTGGGTTTCGCTGATTCCCAGTACTGCTAAGTTGTATCTCCTCATTTCCATTGCTATTTGACTGGTCTTCCCGGTTTCCCACATTGTTCGAACGTTCCATGTACCTATAAAAATTTTTGCTCTGGTTGTTAGAAGGGGCATCGGCCTCGTGGCTTCCGAAGGAACTCGGCTTTCACCATGAAGCGTCATAATTCTTCTAACTGAAGACCTTCTAACTCCCAGGGCAGAGTTTAAATGGTTTGGATTATTTTTTCTGGTAAGCGTTTTTTTAGCGAGTTAGTTTTCTACGGGATGGGGACGCTAACCCCATGCCCAACCCTCCTCCTTTACCCGGGCTTGGGACCGGCAGTAACCCTATAAGAGCTACAGGCGGAGTGGGGACAATCGAATGTATTTAACACAAAATTACAGGACTTGTTAATAAAATCTAACAATTATAAAGTAAATGCTTAATTTGCAAAATGTCCACCAATTGTCTCAAAATGACTCAGACTTCATTGTTCTCGCATTTTCATACAAATTGCGTCCTGTTCCATTTTTTATTGTTCGATCCTTTTGTCTTTCTGCTGACAGACCTGTTCACGACTAACATCATATACTACTTATGTCAATATAAGTAACACACACCACACCGTGACTCATTTTTCAAACACAAATTTATGTATTTAGTTCTTAGTTATAAATTTAGCTATAGGGATTGCTCAAATTATAGTTAACGTATCCTGTTACGAATATATGGCCTACTAATTGAAAATGATATACTTTAATCAAAAATCAAAATTTCATTTAGTTTTGAGATCTAACTAAATTATCCATCGACCAGAGTGATAGTAAACCAACTCTCAACAAATGGTGAATGATCATTATTGTATCAAGGAATCTTGATTTTTTTAAAGAAAAAATATCAATATTGTGTATACTTATATTATCTCCAAAGATTTTTGTATAAATTAACATTTACCATAACTCTTACATAACTTTTAATCAATCAAATAGATTTGACTTATAATTTACATTAACATGAATTCATTTCACATTTGATATTTTATTTCCAACTCATTTGTACTATAAATTTTTATGTTTCTATGTTGTTTTTTTCTCTTTATTGATTTAGTGATTTATGATCATTTGATTAAAGTTTTGTTTTAATCTAATATTTACTTTAGGTATTGATTATATCTTATATATTTCTTTTTGTTCAAAATGACATCTTTTGATAAATAAACGGAAGTTGCTAAAGCAAGAAAAAATATCTATATCATCTGAAACATAAATCAGTATTGATATATATAAAGTTGAACAAAGAATTAAGGTAATTGATGCTCTATATTACTTACGTGATCTTGTTTTCCCTCCTGAGATATAGGTGACTGTACCACGTAGTTTATGTTTATTTGAAAAAAAGGGATTACTTTTTCTTTAAATTTAATGTTTGTAAAAAATATGTTTGTTTCGAAAACCAAAAAGTATTGGTTAATTTCCCTCTTTTTCCACTATACAGAGATTAACAACGTAGAATCTAGTACAATAGTTTACGGGTTTAATGTTATCACATTTTACATTATCTATTGTAAGAGCGAATAACGAAAGAGTGAATATATGGTGAAACAAAGTAAAAAAAGATCTATACAATAATACTGCTCGAAGGTTTAAAGGAAAATACAAAATAAAGACAAGTATACTGTGAAAACCGATTTCGATCTATATCATAGATGCTCTATTTTCCTTAATCAATGAAGGTTAACAGTCTCGTCAATTGACTAATTGCTTTTATCCATAGAATTCACTATGATTGTTTTCGGTCTATTCTTTTCTTGAAGTGTAGTGTAAGTAATTTTAATCGGTGTAATTAACTAAATAAGTGTAAGTATCTAAATTTATCTTATTTAATCGGGAATTCATTCAGATTGTTTAAAGTATTAAACCGTTAACATTTATCCAATATGATTTCTCCAATAAGTAAGAAAACTGAAGTGCATCAAATTTTTATAGGAACGCGAAGAAAGCTTTACATTACTAACATTATTGTTATTACCTATATTTTATACTTTTTCAGAAGAATACCTGTTAAGTTCAGAGATGCGTTTTTTAACTCCTGAAATAGCCTGGCATGAAACGTTACCAATATATTCATGTGATTTACAAAATCGTCTCAAATTAATAAGTGATAATAATAACAAATGTAGCAATCAAACATCTAGTCGTAGTCCTTTAAGTGAATTAAATTTTAAAAATGTTAAAGATCTCGATCCTGATTTGAATTGGACAAGATTGGCAACAGCTGGTGGTGATAATGTTGTTCGTTTATGGCGTGTTCAGTTGAATTGGTTACCTGGAGTTTTGAAAACAACAACAAAGCAAACTGAATCTCAATGTACTACTAATCTAACGGTAGCTAAAAAAGATCCTGGTGTTAATACTCCTGGTATGACACAAAAAAATGATTCCAAACAATTCGAACATTTAACTTATTTGGCTTCATTAAAACGTCATGAAAAACCTGTCAATGTTGTTCGTTGGTCACCTTCAGGTAAAGTTTTTGTGTATACTATTCATTGATCCATTGTAGCATTTCACCTTCAGGTTGCTAAACATCATTTATGTACAAAAAATTTCGTTTATGGTATATTTTTATAATTGTTATTTTTGAATATATCACTTCGGTAAATTGCAGCCAATGGTAATAATTAGTTAAATAGGAATCGACTACTAACAGTGTAATACTTTGCTGATTTTCTTAATTTATTGTTACTCCCTACTAATTTTGATGAGTGAAATAAGTTTGAGTACTACTGTAGTGAATGAGAACACAAGCGGGGACAACCAAGTGTATAGACACAAAATTACGGAATCTCTTAGTAAAATAGCTGGTGCATCCACTCTTCGTGTTCTCCTGAATCCTCCTTGTCTCTTTTTTTCTCTTTTCAAATTTATTTCGCTGAATTATGCTCTTTGAATAACATCTTCAAACCCTGATCTTTCTGATTACTGCTTATACTCTTACCGCCTCTACCACCACGGGATTTGAATCGACAACTGCGTCTGTGCTAATGTGGTGTGGCAACTCGAACTGATATACGTACGTACGAGGTTCTACGTTGTTACTGACTGACTGATTCTTAGTAAAATCTAAGATCCATACAGTAAATACTTCATTTGCAAAATGTCAATCAATGGTCTCAGATATCATTGTTCCTTCATTTCCACACCAATCATTCTCTGTTCTCATTCTCTTTTCTTCGATTTTCTTAACCTTTTGCCACCAGGCATTTCAATTTCGTTTGATGATACATACTACTTATATCTGTCGACATCAGTAGCACACACCGCACTACTACCATTTTATTAGAATGCTTATAACCGAGTTAATCTGGTTATTTGTTTGTTTGTTTACTCTAAAGAATTGGCTTACACTAAGTTCTGGAGTGTCATAAATCCAATTTTCTACTCATTAAGATATCACAAATAAATCATTATATTATTATTACATCTCTTAATGTGATGATTTGTAGTAAATGAATTACGTTTAATTTCTTTGTGTATTACCTTCATTTTAATGATAATTTGGAAACACACAGTGGAGAATGTTCCGCTGAAAATAGATTTAAGTGTAAAAACTGTCAATCACCTTTACTATTTATTTCACATATGCTTTCCAAATACGTCTCGTTGTTCTCATGCGTATATAAACACCATACTGTGGATCATATTTATTGTTCACACGACAGTTGGTTTAAGATTTGTAATAAGAGTCTTCTCGATAATTTGATCGTTCTCATTAAACAATTCATAATGCAACGTATTGTTTTAGAGGTTGCGTGAAGATCCTTAATAGGCGTCTTAATTAAACTTGTAGAAAAGAAAAGCCCGAAAATTTCACAAGTTCTGTCATTTTCCAGTATAAATTATACTAAACACAGAGTTGTAAATGCAACTAACCAAAGCCAGATTTTTCAACCAAATTCCCCATTACTTGTCTACAAAATATAGTGTTCATTTTTAACTGAAATTAAGCATCTTTTATACCAAACTTAGGAAATTGGTTACTGTTTAGTACGGTCAATATATTATTTGGAACCTACAACTCACAATACTATAGAAAAGTAGGGGTGTATGTATTTCGATCCGTTAGTACAACTTTTTGTCAACTGGTAAGTATCTTGATGTGATCTGGTTGTCGTACTGGGTCAATCGGTACATGAGATTAATGCTCCCTATCATACACAAAAATCTAGTTTGTATGAAGAATTTTATCATGGATATATATAGAAATGTAAAGTCAGCAGATATACCTCTACATATACTCGAAACGAAAGTATTCCCATTAGTTTATGCGACTTGCAGTTCATGTATTTCATTAATAACAATGGTAGGCATCTGTGGTTAACTCCCAGAGTAATTCTTTTGATTGAAACATAAATTTATTTTTTTAGGTTAAAATAATTAACTTGCCATTATTCGTAGTATTTTGTGGGAGTGGTATTACATTCATTTAATAAATTAAGTTCAACCTAGTGTTAATCATTTACCTATTCATCTGGAAAATAAACTATTTTCTCAGTCTCTATGTATTATGTCTTCTTCAATGGCTTATTATTCTTGGACTCTTCACTTCACTTCAACCGACTGGTTTCAAAATTGAAACACGACTTGATATGAAAAGGAAATAAATAGACGTGTTATATTATTAATAAACGTGATTTTAAATTACGAACAGAGAAATTCTCACAGAATGTAAGTCATAGTGCATTAATTAATAAAATGAAGATACATTGAAAGTCATTGAATGAAGTTCACTTTGAATCAGTTCATGAATTTCATTATTGAAGTTTTCAGAAATTAATCATTTGTTTGATTGCTACCTGTGAAATTTCTTTATAATATGATTGAATAAAAATTAGCTTGTATAGGATTCAGAATGTTCATAAGCTTATGTCAGAAGTCCATTGTGTTTTATTTAAAATCATATATTATGAAGGAATCCAATAATTTATTGAAAGGGTCCCACCTTTTTCCACAAAATATATTTTGCTACTAGAATTCTAAGTAATTACAGTATTTCTTTCAAAATAAGGTCGTTTATTTTGCATGATAATCGTTTATTTCGAGTATGTTATATTAGAATTATAAGTTCACTGTAATTTGTAATGTAGATTGATTGTTTAGTAGTATACTTGAATTACAAATGTCTTGATTAGTTTATAAGAATGATTAAAATGTGCATTAATTTGTAGGTGTGGTTACATTTATGCAATTTATAAACAAAATAATAATAACAATAACTTAAACATGGTGAATCTAGGTACCTAATGATTGTAGACAATGATTAATATCATATTTCGGTCTTATATTTGTTGTATATAACGGAACATTTATGGATGAAAGATAATTAAAACAGGTTTTATGGTTAGAAATGTATAGTTGAATATTCACAGTTGTAATAGTCAGAGACAATTCCAATGGTGTTAATGAATGATATTAGCAGTTCAGGGGTTTATGGACTGTCTCGGATGAATTGATATATGGCATTTGAATATAACAAATATAAAGTTTCCCTATGAATAACGATCAGATATTTTCCCTACAACTCTCTTCACTTAATATAAGGTGACAAAATATTCGAATCTTTTATTGTTCTGTAAACTATACAATATAATTAAATAACTTGTTGCTTACATTATATGAAACAATGTATAACAGTTTACAAACATGATATTTATCAGGTAAATATACAGATATATTGCAAGGTCATGTAAATAGTCCTCTTCAGGCTTTTAAGACAAAACACGTTAAATACTCGCAATCTATTCAGTGCTCTAGGTGTTTTTCAGAAATTTTGATACTACCCTATGTCTATGCTCTTTTCTATTTTGTGTGACTCATTTCAGAAACCACTTAATTAAAGTATTCCAGATTCCCAAAGTAATGCATATTTTCGTAAATGGGATCGTTGTTTTGAATGTCCATTCGCTTGAGTATGTTGACAGTCTTTTGTCAATTAATGTTTTACCCTCCATATATATATATATATAGTTGGAGCGATTACTTCCTTATGAAATGTCACTGTCTTTGTTAACCATTATTTACTGCTTCAGGTGACTATCTGGCATCAGCTGGAGATGATTTATTCATTATAATATGGTCAAATCAATCAACTACCAATAATGGGATGATCACTTTGATAGATAATTCATCCAATCTAAAAGATGATGATGATGATGATGATGATGATAATGCTATAAATTCGGAAATATGGATTCCTTGTCGAAGTTTAAGGTTAGAATATCCAAGTGTTATATATGATCAATATTATAATTTAACATAATTCTTTGTTGGGAAAATCCATATTTCATATAACTGTTTTACATTATACTATTTGTGAATTGTTTGAATTAAATAAATGACTTTAAAGAGAGTATTAATTATTAAATATGGTGTTGATGTGTATCAGTAACTAGTTTAGATGTTAAATTACTTATTCGTTGTTTACAACAAGATTTCTCTTATTCTCTGTACTTATTTGTAGCGGTTGTCTTTGTAAACAATGCATGGAATGAGTTATTTTCTATCTTAATTTGTAAAACTTTTACATTTCTTGATTGTCAACTTACAGTTTGTTTCGTACATACTGGACTTGATCTCTCTTAATAGTTTAGTTAAATTGATTGTTCTATTTGGATTAGATTGACTAGTTATTATAAAAATCTCTGCATATTTTTTCTAAATTATGTTACATATTTACTGTTATTCCATAATTCAGTTCATGGTTTGCATTTCTTAGATTCTGATTTTCATTGAATACAAAACGTTGTTAATGACTTGAAATTGAAATGATGTATTTCAGTTAAATGAAATACTGATTTTGACGTAATTTCAGTAGGGGTTTTTGTGTATATTATAGTAATTTCAATAGTTGGGACCATGAGTCAATTGAAGCTAGACCACCATGGAAAACCTGGAAGCACTGGACGGCCGTTTCCTTCTATTGTGGGACCCGTCAGCAGTACGCATCCTCGATCCCGCCTCGCGCGCGAGCGCCTTACATAATTTTATATCGCTTAATGTTGACATGTTTATTGGGTGTTAAAAATCTGTACACATACATTTATATCCTAATTTTAAAATTTTCAATAGTTAGCACATTTGTTGATCAGTGTCACTTTTGGGTTCAATCACATTTTTCTGTAGTGTTCTTATTTTAACTTACACCTCTCTAAATAACATTACATAAATCGACCATTTCAACGATTTGACGTTCATGGCCTCATTAAAATGTACTGTTCTTTCCCAGAAATTTAAAATTTAGCTTAATATTAACTTGATTTCATTAACGTTTAAAGCTTTGAAGAAAACTTATGTCTGTATGTATTTAATTATATACTATTAAACATTCTACCAAAATGAACGACTGTTTACCAATACTGTTGGACTTAATACGGTTTAACCAATTAGTGGACGGTTTGCTTACCTCAAAATAAGTCTCGATTTAGTGCAGATGCAGTCTGCTTCTACTTTTATCATCTTTAAATCCTAGGAGGCATATTATCTTGGAATTCTCATGTTACATTTTCGTCATTTTTAATTTAAGTTCTCTGCTAGTATTGATATCATTATTTTTGATCGGATTTTCTTTCCTCATATTGATTTTTTCTCGCCTCGTTGAAATGAATTCTGGTAATGTTTTTGGGCTGACACACATTGTAAGGACACATATAAACTATTTTAGAACCTGGTTTAAAAATGTGTTTCAATCTAGTGTTTGCCGTGTTACGAGAATGATAGCTAACTGACAGAATGAAAATCAATAGAAATGTATCAGGCTAGTATTTGTATATGTGATCTATGATTTTATCATTGATTTTAATCGATTTATATGTAAGTGGTCAACACGTTTAACCATTACAATCACTCTTTGATCTTAAATCAACTGCTGTTGTTAAGCAGTCTCGGAGCATTACTGTGTATTGGATAAGTGTAACACACCTTCCGAACTCTCGATTGCAACCATTTATTTTATTTTCTCGAAATCGAGTACTGGTCAATAATCATTTAGGTATATTTTGGGATGTTGTGTAATAGTTATGTTGTAATCATGACTCACATAGTTTCAAATACAGGAATTTCAGACACTACATCACATGAGCTATGATTATTATGTTGATTTATAGTAAACATGTACATAATCGTTCTGTATCCCCTCAGAATGCAGTTCATAAATTTATGTTAACTTGTAATGTAGTTCATGATTTATATACATTTCACCCAAGTGTGTTGATTACCTTGTGAACTCATTTACCAGGTATAAATTTATATGGGTGACTTTGACTCACACTAATTGTGATGGCCAGTGATACTACCCGGTTGCTCAAATCGTTGTAGGAGGAGTGGTTTTAGAACCTGCGATTTCGTGGTTAAATGTCAGACCCGTTAACATTCGCGTTACTACTTCACTAGATACACCAGGTTAAATATTTCATTGACTCAAATTATGTCCGGTTCGATTGATAAACATGCTCAATATTTTTTGAATGGGAGAGGTTAATTAGATAAGTTTCGATTGAAGTTGGTCTTCGTCCCAAAGCCATTAAAAATAAGGAGTATTACTTAACCGTTTCGTAATACTGTGTCGCTTTTCAATCGTGTTTTAAGAGTCCACAAATATCCCTTAGCAAAAAGTTTTAGAAGCCCGAGAAAAGGCTGTGAGAATTTTATCCTATCATCAATGAAAAGAAACTTCTTAGAGAATTCTAAAAAGTGTGAATAATTGTTTGACGTTTTGGTTTATATATATACTCAATTTTCTGTACATAGATTAATCGTTTAGTAAAGCTTCTGTTCACCTTTCACAAATTTTCTCTATTATTCGAGTTTAAGTGCAGAAATAATCTGGGGTTATAGGTAATAGCGTTCAAGTAAAAGACTTATCAATGTGTAACCGTAACTCTCATGGGTTAAAAACCGGAACTTGCATCATGCTTACCTTTAGACCAACAGTTGTTCAAAGTCCTTTGGTTCTTAATGCCTTCATACTTGATATTAATCAATAATAAAAATCAACTTTAAATGCTATAAATTTGGAAAACTACAAGTTGTATTTTCTAACACAACTTTCCAATTTTTTTTTCATAGAATAAAGTTAACTCATATGTGTGTGCTTAAAATTGATATTTGTAATACTTCTGAAGTCACCTAGATTTCATCTACTATCATTCTATCTATGAGTAAAAGAGAATTGTTTAACAAGGAAGTGATCCCATATCGTAAATGGATTTCAGGAAAGATCAGAAAGATCCTAAATCCCCAAAATATAACAGTACTCTTCCGAGCGAATAATGCTCTATGCTCTAAACTAGTAAGACTCAAGGATGCAATACGAAAGGCCGAACAATAAAATTGTCTTTATGAAATCAGTTCTAGTGATTGTAATGCTATATATGTAGGTGAGACATTATGGTTACTGAATGTGAAGGTAAAGGGACACAAACTTTGCTTGAAGCACATTCCTGAATCTTCAGATGAGCTGAAAAAGAACTAGAAAACAAGTCAACGATAGCATTACGCTCAATAGAGTCATGTCATACAATTGATTTCAATGGCACAATAATCCTTCATATAAGTTCTTGTTAGTACAAAGAAGGACTAACAGCTGAAACCCTACACATGTAAACAATTTTAAACAGTATTAATAAGAAAGACGAAATGAAATTAGCTATCCCTTGACCAATAATAATTATTAAATTAAGCGGAACTCCTGATTGCATTTTACTGTATTTTGTATATTATTATCTGATCGACAACGATTACTCTTATAATCAGTTGGTTTTTCTGAATACATGAACAATTAACTTGATCAACAAATTAGCACAAATATTTGTTTTAATTTTCTTTACTTATCTTCAGTTTATGCTTGCTGTAACATGTTTAACTCGTATCACCTATAAAATTGTCTGTTTTCATCAAAAATTCACCGATCAGAGGTGATATATATTCAATGAAATTTTTTTCTCACACCTCAGATCCACTTACATATACATACAATTTATCTTAACACACTTTTCTTTACACACCTTAAGTGTCTCATACTCACTACAACAAATTCTTACTTTCAACACTGTTAACATGATTGGATAACCTGTTTATTATTAGTTAACTGGAGAACCATGTACCTATTTATATTTGATAATTTTGATGTTTGATTATATTTCCTTGAAAAAGTTTGGACCAGATAACTGAACGAAATTTTGAATTCACTTGAAATTTAACCGCTGAAAGTTTTCCTTAATGTCTACTCATAAGTAGTTGACTTTTCCCACTTCCTACAAAACAACATAATCTATCACTGATCAAACTGACAAATATCGTACTAACAGCGTTGTACATTTTCGGGCGATTGAAACAAATCTTGTGTAATTCATATGATTGATTAGAGATTTCATTTGTACCTACCATCCATTATTATTGTATGAATTTCTTTAAAAAAATGGAATTGATTTGTCATTTAATATATCCATCAAGCAAACATCAGGTGTGCATTGAAGCAAATGTTTTTCCTCAATCATGTACAAGGAATATTGCAGATACCGAGTGTTAGAATTATTCTATGAACATTTCCTTTGTGATCGAAAAATATTTTACCTATCGTTTTATGTCATATCTAAAATGCATGTTGTGTATTTCTTTGGGATTAGACGTCATTTAGAAGATATCTACGATGTTTGTTGGTCTCCAGATGAACGTGCACTTATATCCGGGTCTGTTGATCATTCAATCATAGTTTGGCAGCTTGACTTAATTCCATCACCGTCATCTGCTCTCCCAGCTGAAGATTTCAGCAGTGTTGGAGAAGTGGGTCCAGAGAACAATCATTCTAATCGACCTGAGAATGCACCTGCCTCAAGTACAAATACCAGTCAAGCTACAATCAAGACCTTAATTCTACGTGATCACAAACATTATGTACAAGGTGTTGCTTGGGACCCATTAGGATTTTATGTCGCCAGTTTAAGCAGCGATCGAGCTTGTCGGATATATCATGCTGGAACTAAAAATTGTTTAGCACATGTGTCTAAGGCTGGAAAACAACGTTTATTTCAAGTACGTTCATCAGATGCACTTTGTTATGAATAAATTTTAAAATACGTACTAGTTAATCTGACATCATGCAAGTGAGCCAAGCAAAAAGGGAAAGTATACTTCATTACTTACCAGTATTGTTTACCGCAATGTATATATACATTCGATATAATAAACTTCTCATTCATATTTGTATCACAAATTTACATGTTGAGAAGCATTATTCATGACGCATTGTAGTCTTCTTGTTTTCTAAGCATATGATCAAGTGGTTTTTATTTATAATTTTCTATAGATAATCATGGAGTTCTGCTCTTTTTCTATCTAGTTTAGTCAAGCTAAATAGATACGATTACCGTTTTTTTATTCCAAATGAATATCATGTAATGAAATGAGGCACCCTTTTTCAGTCGACATATACATGATATGAAATGAATTAGCTACATACTTGTTTATTTGCTACTTACAAGTAGTTCAACAGATTTATTCTAATTTTATCTCACTGTTTGTTTTTCTAGTAATTTCATAATCTTTTATTTGTTGCAAATTAAAGAATGTTTAATTAAGAAAAGAATATTTTCTCGTAAAGTAGGCAAATAAAAGAATCTTTCAACTGATACAATCGGTCATTTGCTTAACTCCTTTAGTTTACATAAACGTGAGAATGATAACAGGAGTGTTTGTATGCAAGTCTAAAAATCTGTAGGAAATAACCAAATTCTAGTGGAAATATTAGCTGAAAGTGTTATTTTAATAATTAGTAGTAGTATATAGTGATTTCTTAAGTGATATTCTACAAGTAATGGTTAACATTGTAACCAGTTCTTTGGCTAGTATCAGTACTCTGTTGATTTTTCAGGATTATTTCTTATCGAGTTTCTTTGTTATTTCATTGAAAACATCTTTGGCGATATTGTACGAAATAATGGTGATCGATTTGCCTTGATCGCATTTTTTTTTACTGTGGAACAAAAAATTCACCTATAATTAAATTTCGTTTTCCCTTCATCTGGATTAACCAATCGCTTGTAGTTTTATGGTTAGTTAGTTCTAACACGATTAATTGATAATGTAAGACCTGGTGTATGACCATATGTGTATATTACAGATTTGTGATTATTTAAAGTTCAACAGTTGAGTTATGTTGCTTTCCTTACCCTAAATCAGAAGCACTCACAAATTAATCACTTGTGAATGGAATTTTATTATCATTACTATTTAGCCTATTCCTATTGATTTTTCTTATACAATCATACTACATTGTAAAAATTCTCAAAAGTCACTAGAAAATGATTGTTAGTAAAGTTGATTATTACCTGTCACTCAAGGATAGAAATAATGTCTTTTCTTTCTAGTTTATCTAAATTAATGATAGCAGTAGTAGTTGTCTTTCCAGTCTCAATATTTTCGATTTAAGTGCTTCAATACTTGTATTATATTTAAGGGTTACATTATTTGCATCGTTTTTAATTTAGTTATACCCTATTGATGGATAATTGAAAGGAATCATTAGGAAAATTTTCTTCCATGTAACCATCGTAGATATTTTTTGATTTTCCGTCTTCATTCACTTGTATCATTATACCATTCTATATTATATTTCTGAGTAAAATGGATCTATGATAGTCGATCAATATGTATTGACTGGATCCACTGTTTCAAGTGTGTGGAGTCTTCATTTCAATTTATTATTTACATTTATTTATTTCATAGGATGATTCTTGGAAGTCGTTTTTTCGACGTCTTACTTTTAGTCCGGATGGTTTACTTCTTGTTTGCCCATCAGGTAATCTTGAAGAGGCTACATTTGCTGGATTAACCAATTCAACTATGATTTCTTCAACCAATGGATTTGAACAGCCAGACAAAATAATAGATACTACCATTCCACTAGTTGCTCCTCAACATGCAGCGCATATTTTTGTACGTTCAAATTTCACTCGTCCTGTGGTCAGTTTACCAACAGGTTCTAAGCCAGTTGTTGCAGTTCGCTTTTGTCCTCAACCGTTCCAATTAAGACAGGTTAACTTAAACTATCAGAATTCCACAAATCAATATTCTAGCTTGTTTAATCTTGCATATCGGTGGCTTTTTTGCTTAGTATTAGAAGATAGTGTTCTCTTTTATGATACTCAACAAACTGTACCATTTGCTCAGGTATGCATAGTTTCATATTGTTTAGTAGTTATTTATCTTTTTAATGAAATTTCATGGTCGTCATATGTTGTGTTTGCTACATTCATCACTTGTTTTTAGCATAACTTTTTCTAAAATCTTGATCAAAATATATCTTACAAGTATAATAAGTGCCGTTACTTACGTTAATGTATTGTCGACCACTTCTAGTTACTTATTTTCATATATTAATGGCCATTCACTTAGCAATCAGAAAGATTTAAAAATCTATGACTAAATCAAAATTAGGACTTTATCAATAGTCGACATAAGTAACTTTGTTACCTAAATAACATCTTAATCTTTTTTTGAGGTCAATGTTGCAAATACTGTAATTATTAGGTTTTCTTACAACCTACTATACTTGTAAAAAAACAAGAGTTTTGTATTGTACACAACTTTACGTTATGAATACTAGGAATTAAAATATAAAATATGTTTATATTAAAGGATTGTTGACTAACTGTCATATGGAAGAGGTTTTGAGAAACGTTGAACTTTCAAAAGTATCCTACTGAGATTTATTTATATTTTTATTGTATACTGATTATATGCTTATTTTTATGTTCTATTTATAAGTTTCTGTTTGACCTATAAATCTTTGTGCCTTACAGTTTCAGATTTATAGTTGATTAATTAATTATTTCTCTATTGCTTCGTTTTTGTATAACTTATGACAGTCGTGTATACAATGTAACTTATTAACTGTTTTGTATCTGGTTCTGTGTTGAGTATAACCTGAATGACTAATAATTGTGTTACTGTGCGGTCAAATATTTATGGTGTATTGCTGTATAAGTTCTAAGTCATGAATGAATAGATTACAATAAAGAACTAATCTGCTTGTCATTTTTATCTTCTGAGTGGAAGGGGTTTGTGGACCATTCACTATTCTTCGGTCACTATTCGCGATGATTGAATCATTAGTTAGGAGATGGTTTTTATGTTATTGTATAGAGAAAAAGTCGCTGCTGCTACAGTCAATATAAAGAAATAAGTCAATAATCAGCGTAGATATTTCAACTGCCCTAATAATAAACGGTTCGATCCCACTGATCTCAGTCCAACTCAAGATACATGAATAACATATAGAAAGAGTGTATATTCAACTGAAAATCCCACTCTTTAATATACTGACTTGGAGATTGGAATATCCCAATTAGAGTTTGCTTTCAAAAGCATTTACAACCGGTTTATATAAAATATAATTCGTAGAACTTATTGCTACGTTGTATCATGTTGGTCATTAAGATAGCGATTCGCATTAGAATATCTATTAACTATAAACGTGCATATACACTTACATGTTAATATTTTGTCTAACTGTTATATATGACTGCTCAAACAATATTAATAAATTACTCAGGTGTTTTGTGATGAAAATTGTTTGGTTCGAAAGTAGTTTTCACCATGGACCGTCATCTTGTTCAATCAATGCAGCTCAAAGTTTTTTCATCAGATTAACTTATACTTAATTACTAGTTTATATGCTGTCAGTCAAAATATTTTTGTGTATTTCAGGTTTCTCAGCTTCATTATCAAGCTTTAAATGATGCATCATGGTCTAAAGACGGGCATTTAGTTGTAATCTGTTCTACTGATGGTTATTGCTCTCTGATTCACTTCGCACATGGTGAACTTGGCGCATTTTATCGTGGCACGTTTGGTGCACCTAATCCACAGGCGATCTCAATCGACAATGCTGTTAGTGAAACAGATAAGTGCCAGATTAATGAAGTTGAAATGTTATCATCCGTAGTAGGGGATGCAGTTAACGACGCTATCAAGGAAGCAAACACTCCTCCAAAATCTAATGTTTCATCTGCCACAGTTCCTGACTCAAACAAATTAACCAATGAAGCAAAGTCATCAGAATCAAGGTAAATTTATTGTTTCTATCAATCGACTGTGTATTCTTTTTTATTGCCATAATTTCTTATTTCTAAAATAATCGCAGCTATATATTTTCAGTTTGAACAATTTCCCATCAAATCTTACTTGTAAGTACACTTAGTTTAGCCAATTGTTTTTCTTTTCTATTAGACCATGAATTCAACTATTAAAATAAGTACAATCTGCACAAACCCTCATCCTGATAATAATCATCATGTGCTCACTAGTGACTGGCTTCAAGATCTATTTCCTGTAATTCTAGTTAGAAGCCGTGACCGGTGGAGTACAATCCGTGTCGGGTGTGAGACAGGTATCTACCTCAGACAATGGAAGATGATCGCGCAATATCGTGGATTAGTTGAAGTTAGACATTAACACCGTTGGATGCCGACTCAGTGGTCTTGAGGTTAAAGTTTGCGCGTGAAACCAAAGGTCCTGGGTTCGAGTCATTCGGGATCGTGGATGCACACTGCTGAGGAGGTCCGGACTAAGATGAAATGGCCGTCTAGTGCTTCCAGGTTTTCAGTGGTGGTCTAGCTTAGATCGATACACGAATTCAATAATCATTATTCCATTTTTGTATTGTTTGTTTGAATCTTCCTATTGATATTTAGGACTGCAAATATTCAGCATGTGTGCATCCCTTGCGGATTGCCTCAATATTGCCTTAGGTCAAAAGCATTATAAACAAAGATAAGTGGTGGCTAACAGTGGTATCCAGGAGCGAACATTAACTATGTTATGCAGATATTTCCGGTTAACGAGTCGCAAACAGTACGAAACGCGCGGCCTGGATCCCACCGTTGGACACCATCCATCTTTGCTTATAATTATAATCATTAAGTTAATGATATTAGCATTGTCGACTGCTTGTGTGATTAAGCTTTCAAACATCTTGGTAAATTTGTGAATTACAAATGGGGTGTGATTTTAAGTCTGTAATTACTGTCTTTTGAAAGTATACTTTTGTTCAGTTCTCTGTAATGGATTAGAAACTTGCTTTAAATTGATATGATAATTATAATGTGTGATATAAAGAAGATATATTTCATTACTAATAATTGGGCATTATCCTTTCTTCGTAAACAATCCATTTTTATCGGACATTAAAATTATCAGTTTAATAACTTAATAACTGATCTTTTTAAATATATTGAATTTTTAACTTACCATTTAACAATCTACATTTCAGCATTAATAATAATCCCATTGTTGTCGATGGTGCCACAACTGTATCTAAACAAAAACGACGTGTACAGTTAACAACATTGGTTTCCTTCAGTGATGGGAATATAACTAATAACAGTAAAACAGATAACATTCAGATTTCAAAAAATTTACCGAATGACTCTGATTTCCGCCCAACAGATCCCAAATCTTATAAATTTGAGGAAAGAGATGTTATAGAAATCGAGGTAAGTTAGAAGTATTACATTATCATTGTTTCAGTCATTCTAAATATTTACTTAGTGTGACTTTATTTATTGTTTAAATTTTCTGAAAATTCCTTTGTTTATTTTTCTTTTAGGATTCGCCGACTTCCTAACCGATGATATAAAGTTGTCATAATTTCCTAGTAGGCTGCTCTTAAAAAAAACCATAACGTTTCAGGGCCGTATTGCATTGTGTGCCAATGTACCAATGGTTTATTTTTGTTCCAGAAACCATTTCTGTTCTATTTTTCTATGTATTTATTTATGTAACAATTTTTTTCAAAACAAATAGACCCTCTTTACTGTTTTATTATTTAACTCGTATTAAAAATTGATTCATTGTCTATTGGCTTAAAGATCAAAACGGCTAACTCAGTTGCATTCTTAGGTCTACCGATTCAGATCACGTCCCACCTCTATTTCTGCATCCCATTAATAATACATCGCGATACATCACAGACACTGAAGCTGGGAAAGTTGGTTTTCTAGGGAGAAAACCCTCTATTATTTTAGGTAAAGTTTTAATCTACAAGAGAGCAAATACAATTCCACGATACCCAGTAACGTTTGTTCACCTATGGTTCTGTGACCCGTTTATTATTAATCTCCAAACATCCAGTAACTCATCCAGACTTCAGTTATTTAGTTTTGTGAAAATCTACAGCATTAAAGCAGTAAGTATAGGTTTGAAAGATAAACATACCTCCGTCGAAACAGTACTCATCCGTTGCCTTGTCACTTGGGAATTTAGTAAAATTAGAAGTCAATACATTAGATTGTAAGTCTCAATGGTTTGTTATATTCTATTTTTAACATTTGGAACTAGATTTTGACTAGTCTTTCTTGGTGTTCACTCAAGGTTAACATATGCCAACAAAAACTGATAAAAATTCAGTCCTGCCTGTTGACAACAGGACATTGTCAACACTTGCGAATAAACAGTATGTGTGATCAACAAGTTAGTAGCTATATGGTCTCTCTAGCTTAGTGAGCAAAGCGTTGACATTAACAATAGCAGGTATTAGGTTCGATTCTTAGTGTGGATATCACCACAGGGACTAATGTACTTCCAGCTAATACGTTTCAAAAGTACGAGATAGGCCTTATGGATTGCTCCATTTACTAACATTAAAATGTACTAAACGTTGTCTCTGATACCTACTGATAAGGTTCCTAATTTCAGTCTGTTAATGCACTTTTCTCCCTTTAAAGTGATATCCGCTGTTCCACATTTTCCTAAGGAGAAGTTAATCATAATAGGCTAAATAAATATGTTAGCCTTAACTAAATGAAACTTATTATATTCAAACTTGCTGACGTGTAATTTTCGAGATTTATTGCTTACCAGAAACTAAAGTGTTTATATGTTCATGGCTACATGAGCAGTAAAAGGGTGAGATTAAAACTCATCTTCATGGTTCTTTAAGTTAAGCTACAACGGGTTCATTTAACTGTACGAATAATTAGTGGTTAATCAGTTTTGAGATTGTAAAAAATCTACCGAAATTTCCATTCATGTTATCAAAGACATTAAAGTGTTCGGATAAAAGACGTTCGTACGGAATTCAGATTTCGAACCCATTGTTTGTCCACTTTATTTCGTCTGTTTCCCGCTCTGTCGACCAGTACAAATTTTTATCGTGGTTAATGCAAAAGATGATAAGAGATCAACAATCAGAAGTTGTGACGGTATTGTAATAAACGAAGACTTGGTCAGAGTAAATCAATGCATTGTTTTGAAGAAATCACACACTGCACTTGTGAAATATGAAAACAATACATTGAATATACCATTTGCACATTTTCCTTGAGTTGTTCCTTACAAGCCCCATCGTTCTCCCACTCCTGTTTCTTTCGTCAGTAGAAATCCTACTTCAAATTCTTGATACACACTACTTATTTTTCTCTGCATATGTTGCACACCACAGTACTTACCATTGTCATTAATCCGTACAATTTTCTGAAGATATATGCTGTTCTGTGTGAGTAACTGATGTTCATGACGACTGACAGTGAAACGGTATTTTGCACAATATTCGTTTTGTGTGGTCCTATCAACTGGAAAAGATAAACGAATAATATTCATAAGCCAAGTAACGACCGTCCATGTATTGGCCACTGTAGATGTCGATGTCACCTTTCTACATGTAAACAGAGTTCATTGAACTGTTTTGTGGATAATAAAATAGTATTTATTCCAATCTTCTAATTAAAAAACCAGAGATTGTTATGAGAATAAATCTGTGGTCAGCAAATAAACAATTTGCTTCCACGGTATACCTGAAAGTGCATAAGAATTCCTTAGTATGTTTTGTTACTATATTTATTGACTGTATGCTTGATTGCTACTATTTGATAAAGTGAATTGAATAACCCTAGAAAGTAGGAGTTAAGAAGTGTATTCACTCGTCTCAGTGACCTAACAAGTAATTTTCGTGGGATTCTCGAATTCTAAAAAATATATCTTTTCTCATTTGAGTGCTTACCCTCAGCAAACTGATTGACGTATGAACGATTTTGGACACCTGTTTACTGTATAGACCTGGTTACAAACTATTTAGATATTTGTAATGCTCATACCTAATTTTATTTCTACTAGTATTGTGGTGTGTGCTATTGATGTCGACAGACGTAAGTAGTATATATCACCAGCCGAAAGTGAGATGCCAATGGCAGAAGGCTAAAAAGATCGAAGAAAGTAGGACAAGAATATAGTGATCGGTGTGGAAAAGAAGGAACAGTGATGTTTGAGACGACTGATTGATATTTTGCAAACGAACTGTTTACTGTATGCTTCTCAGATCTTACTAAGAGATTCTGTAATTTTGTGCTTAAATACATTCGATTGTCTCCACTTGTGTTTTCGTTCACCACAGTATCACTTGATTACTGAATAACTGTATCTCTAAAGTTTTTGTTCATTGGGCCTATAGCCGTAATATCCGACGTAAATGAAGGAGATAAATCCATGAGTCTAGAAGTTTTGAAAGTTAAAAACTCTTCAAGATAAAGATTCTCGGCTAACCATTCTCATCAGGTTACTGTGGATACACGAATAGGTACATTTCTTAAGACAACTAGTTGTCGTTACTTATAATTGGAAACATTGATTATTATCCAAATATATCTTAGAAACCCTTCATTCTTGTCGTTTGACGTACTTTGTTTCAAGATCCTTGACTATGAAACGTTTTCTGATGGTAGCGTCTTATAAAACAATGAACTCGTAAAGTCCATTTAGGAAGTTTTGTATGAAAATCCCTTGATGACAACACTTTTATAACTTATTTCCCTTGACCCCTTCAGATGTTTAATTCACTGAACTTTTGATTACAGTTGGGATGGTAATGTTATTTTTATATTATGTTCCGTTTTTCCCAAGATCCTACTAAATTTATCCGCTTCCCATAGACTACAAATACGTTCTTTTGCGTAATATGTTATGGCACCTACCATATTGATTTGTTTCTCTTTTTGATTTTGTTTCTTAAACTACCTAAGATTGTGTGCCTTTGGATTGTAAATTGAAGAACTCTTCCAGAACTGGGAACACCGTGTTATAACAGGTTGTTCTATGATAATTAGAAGTATGTGTATTATATTAAAAAGTAAGAATCTCAGAAATAACGCAAGTGGGTTAAGAAGTACTCGATAAGCACGAACGAATGTACTGTATTTGGAACTCAAAATCAAGCATTCAACAAGTACAAAGGAATCGTTAGTTCATACAAACACCACAAATTCTTGATACCTTTGTTTTTAGTATTTTCTCTAGAACTGAATATTGCCTTTCAAATAAACCGTACGTGGTCGATTTAGAAAGAATCAAACAATATTCTCATATAATAGGAACCCTTTACTTGTTCAACCTAGCGACTATTTTATCTTCTTAGTCAATTTGTCTACCTAATGTAATTCATATTTAATTATTGAGTAACAATTATTGGTTGGATAACCAGATAATAATATTCTTTAGATATCAGTGTATATATTTAGTTTTGTAAAAATATTTAGAACTATTCTTTACCCAAACAATCAATTTGTATTTCGACTGAACATAAGCGCGCATGTCTAATCTAACCTGTGGTGTTTGAATGAACTAATGATTCTGTTGTACTTTTTGAATGCTTGACTTCAAATTTCAAATACAGTACATTCTTTCGTGCTTATCGAGTACTTCTTGACCCACCTGCGTTATTTCTGGGATTCCTAGTTAGTACTATAATTCAAATACTCTTAATTATCAAATTGGCGTCGCGATGGAGCCTGTGATAAAATTGTTGGATATACACTCAGATTTTGATTCTCTTGAGGATTACTTTGAAAAGTTCGAAATCTGGGCTATGACCAAGGAAGATGATGAGGATGTTAATATCGTAGCACATTTCCTCACATTCATCGGAAGAGAAGCATACAGCTTATTAAAAACTCTGGCTTTACCACTTCCCTATACAGCTCTCAAGGAACTACTGCTAGACTATGTTAAGTATACAAATGTTGAATGCGGTCAAGGAGGAAGATATCGTAAAATGATTCATGATGATATAAAAAATTCCACTACATTACGTCACCACAATCCAGTGCATACTCAAGGTTATGCATGTAATCCATTGAGGAGTTGTGATGCACTTCACGGAGATGGGCACACGTTTGATCAATGTTTGTCCTGTTGCAGATTCCACTCCTTTAATTCATGCAAATTTCGTAATTCTGAATGCTTTAAATGTGGTGATACTGGACATATTCAATCAGTCTGTAATACTAATGTTCATCTTGCTGCAACTAATATTAGGTCTTGTAATTCTTATTCTACTAAGTCGTGTATTTATACTGATCATTTATCTTCAATAACGATTTCAAAAGACAGTGTAGAGTCATATAGCAGTTCAGCGTTAAATGAAATTCAGAATTCTTGCGAAACAACAGATTCTAATCAACCGACTTATCAGATTTCTCATGTTATTGTACCAGATATGGCTTTTCCTAATGATTCACATATTTCTGATGAAATTCCTTATAAATCTGCGGGAAACATGTTGAATGAACCTAGTCATGATCGAAAAAACTGATATACTTTTGATAGATGCTGATTTTTCTGATGATCCTTTACTCTGCAATGACATTCTTAATGAATTTGAGGAAACTACTTCAGAAGAATCAATTAAAGAAGTCAAATCAAATATTATTTGCTCTCATAATGCATTTGTTTCTTGTGGGAAACTTGTCCAATGAGAAGCACGAGTAATAAATGAACTCGATTTTGATTACAATTCGGATGATTTCATACTAACTATTGTTTGTACTTATCACAA